AGTTCCCCTTTAACAGATGGGACATGGGCCACGTCAAATAGATTTTGTCACATTATTTATTTATTTTTCCCCAAATATGGTGTCCGTCATTTTAGGTAGTTCTTAGTGATGTATGTGTTGCTTGCGATTGAGTCGGCCAGGCGTATGGGCAGGACTTTGATACCCCAGCGGCAATTGCGATCACTACTGTGCATACTCTGGCTCCAAGTGGCGAAATATGACAGCGACCATATCCTGTATATTTTAGCTTCATTTTTGTACAATGGGAGAAAGTGGAGACATGGCATCGTATCCGAAATTCCTTCAACACGGCCTAAAATGCGGTATCAGCAAAGACAGGCATCTGAGCAAAAACAAAACACATAAAAAAACACATGCATACATATGGCTTACAGTTAAGTTATGCTGGTAGCTTCCATAAATGCTATATGGCATAGAATTGTCTGGTGAATCCTCTGATGGTATATTAGATTTTTTTGTTTATACAAAATTTATACCACAGCTAATGACATGGCGGCTCATGGTTACTTGTAGGTCTTCACAGAGGTCAGAAATGGCAACTGTCAGATCAGCAATAGAAGGACATGTCACTGTGTATAGGACTTAAATTAAGAATAGATTGGATTAATGAAGCTAATATTACTTGCACAAAGTTGCAGTCTTCAGTCTCGTTTTTAAATATATAAAGACTAAAAAACAACTACAAAACGAAACCGACAACAAAACCAATTTTCCTTCATCTTAAATTGCATTTGTAACAATCTTAAAAAGATATTTGAAAGTTGTGAAGTTGTTAGAAATCGTGTGCTGTGTTGATGAAATGAGTTACACAATAGCGCTGTAAGCCAATGTAACCACTGCTTCAGCAGAAGATCAAAGTCGATAAGAAGAAATAAACAAGCGAAGAACGTGAAAGAAATGTATATCAAAATACTAATTCATTTTAAGGTAAACCAATGTTCCATATCCCCCTATTCCAGACCTGTGATCCACATCACAAAACCAAAGGTGGCATCTAAAGCGCCAGAGGCCAGAGGCCAGACCGCAGCACCCATCTCCCTCACTCTGACTCCAGCAGCAGAGCAGCCGGCCCGACACCAAGGCAAGAAGAAGGGAAGTGCACCCAAAGCAGAGGATTCGGATACAGACCCTGAGGCCCCTGTAGCCCAGCAGATGCTCTCGTTTGTCATGGATGATCCCGACTTTGAGTCTGAAGCATCAGACACACCAAAAATAGCAAAGGTAAAGTGGAACAGATTTAACAGCACAGCAGATTCACTCCGAGGTTAACTCACAGTTCACAGCTCAACTGCTGAAAGCCTGAGCTTTTATTGTAATTGTTGGATTTCAGTCAGCTGTCACTCAGTCAAATCCACAGCATGATACAAATCAGCCAGAATACTGATTTTAATTTTGCTCCTAGCACACTGCCATTTTAAATTCCTTCCTTTTATTTTTTTTATTTTATTTTTTTCTTCCCAGGATTCATTTCCAGTCAGAGATGAGCTTCTGTCCGACCTCTCTGACGATGACCTGCAGTTAGCCAAGGTGCCAGAACCTCTGAAGCCCACTGTGATCTCCTTCAAACACAAGGATGACACCGACCTGTTCGGCCTCGGCATCCAGGAAGAGGCTCCCGCAGCCAAAGACAGCAGTGAGGAGCAGGAAGGCAAGTCACCAAATATCTGCCAATGTGTCTTTGTAACTCTGTGACTCAGTTGGTATTTCGATTAGAATTCACATTAGTATCCACAAAAGAGCTGTTGCTATTGTTCTGCTATGTGTAACAGAGTTATTTTATTCACCTGATCAAATTGGCAGGAAGGCAAAGGTGGAACGATCATTAATCTAGATCAATGGTTTGAATCAATACAAAGTGAAAACATCGATCATATCATCGTGTCATCTTTAACAAGATTTTTTTAAAGGTTTAAAAATACTTAATAAAACTTCTAAAGGCTTTATGTATCAGGTTGTCCCACAACCACCAATCAGTCATGAGAGTGATCTCTTTGTCTAATAACATGAACAGCAGCCTCATTTTATTCCTGATTATTCACAGCGTTGTCTACAGAAAGTTATTGTCCATTTCAGTGGTATCCCAACACATTGACATTTAAATGTGATAATATAACAAATTACAACAAGTCTTGTGGATTTGACCACACAAAAAGATTAATTCTGTACTATAGACCATTGACGGTATATATAATTGACAGAGCTTCCGGATTGGCTGCAATAACAGCGATCCCATTCACGTTAATGGAGAATGAGCTGACTTCTCACTTCATTTATGAGCTTAGTAAACAGTTTCCTGATGACACATTATGATGTTCATTCAGCACATTATGGTCCAATGTAGAGTAAAATAAACAATAAAGCAGGGTATGCTTTTGTGCAGGGCTACCTTTTGATTGACAGGTCCAAACAGCAGTGCTGATCAATTATGAAGCAAGTTTATGTTTAAGCCTATTTCTCACTAAACATCATTTCAGAAACATATTTTAGTTAATACATTGCTAGTTGTGACCAGGCGAGCCACCACTGTTTCTGGCTACAGGCAAGTCAAAACTGCGCAGCTAATAAAAGCAGTTTAACTCGCAGTACGTCACATCCACTGGCTCACGCTGGCTCTGTTTTACTGTCACGGCGGCGACCAAAACGGAAATTTCAAGGCTTCAAAACGGCACTCCACAAACCAACGGGTGACGTCACGATAGGGTCACACTTGCTCTAGACCATAAAAGACCTCTGACAGGTCTGTGATCATGATTCAACCACATGCCTCTAACATACAAGACATCATGCTCACTTCAAGAAAAGGTGATTATCCGGAATGAATAGAACCATAGTTACATATATAGGTTTGTGATGTTTGGATTTCAATGCATGTTTTGAATATTTAGGGACCGAGCCAGCGACCGCTGGAGGTCCCTATTGAAATTGCTCGATTTTGCTGCGTTTTTGCCCCCCTGTAAATATATACGAAAACTCGTTCCGGTTTTCACACTCTTGCAACAAAATATCTTTTTCTTGTCGTTTTCTCCAACAATGAATTTTCCCACGGGGACTTTTTCAGCGGCTAACTTTTTTTTTCGTTCGGAAGGCATTACTTCCGTGATCGATTTTATTTTCTGGCTTTTCGTTGAAGCAGCGGTTGAAAAACAGTTAGGCGACTTATGTTTTTGTAAGTTTCTGCCACAACGTATGTTTTGAAAAGGCATTGTTTGTTTTTTCACGTAAGGGAAGGAAGTTTGATTCATTGTTGCACAGCGCATTTTATTACATTTTGTGTCTGTTTAAGGAGCAAAAAAGGCACTCTTTTTAGGATTGGCCCCCAAGAAAGTTGGGGGGTTTATTTTTAAATAAAAAACTAACTGGGGAGCCTGGCCATACTTAGAAGGAATCCAGTTTGCAG